ATAAATGTATGATGTATGAATGTCAAACCAATATTTTGTTTTTATTTTTAGAACCTTACTAACAGGAAGCTTGGGGTCCTTTTTATTAGACAGATACGGGTGGAACATGCCCTTTTATTTTATAGGTAAGTTGTAGCTTTAAGTGAAGAGGTTTCACAGCCTTTGAAGGTTATTATACGTTTATTATAGCTCCTATTTATACCATCTCATGGTTCAAGAAGTTTGGAAATTTCAATTCTTGTAGCCAGACCCTTCGTTAGGGTGGGGTCCATTGGGGCGTGAGAATTAAACCCCAGCAAAACCTCTTCAGTTCAGCAGAGATTGATTTCATCAGAAAGTCTTAAACATACTATCACAAAAAAAAAAACCCAGACGGGCCGATTTTAATTGTGACCTTTGACCTTTTCAGGAGGGTGTAGTATATTATGGATGTTGGGGTTGAGATATTTCTTAATTAAAAAACATCGTCTGAATAATATTAACGTGAGATTAGACGAGGGACCGAACCCAAATAAAATACGAGGTCAACCAGCTGTACCCTGGGTCACACTCTTCACTAAACCAGCTTTCTGGTAAGTAGTCTTTTCTTTCAAAGTTCAAACACCAGCCATGTAACTCTATAGGTGGGGCAGAATTTGCATAGACCAAACCTTAATTTTCAAGTGTATCTAGGACACTGATAGCACCAACTTGCAACATTCTAATATACAGACTGTTGACTATCGGTCATGTAATGGCTTCTGTTATGGGTCCTGTAAACTCAATAATGAAGGGGCATGTTTGATTTATTTTTGTTCTTTGTTTTTTTTTTTCAGGTCATTAATAGTTGGTCATTTTTGTGAAAATAACGCTTTTTATATTTTATTGTCATGGTTACCAACATATTTTCATGAAAATTTTCCCCATGCCAAGGTAAGTCTTTAGGGGAAGGGATGAGAATTTCATCTTGCTGATATATTGATTGAGTCCCTCCCCATCTTTGTAAAAGCCACGCCCCTATTGATTATAGATGGGACAGCAATTCACTTTATACTTTTAGCTTTGT